TACTCTACATTTTCACTGCTAGTCTGTTTCACAGAATCATATTTTAGAAGGAGGACAGACCATAGAAATCATCATGTTCAAAATCCTAGTTTTACAAATGAAGAAACTGAGGCCCCCCCCAAAATGACATTAGGGTCCCACAGTAAGAGGTAGAACTGGGATTAGTAGATCTCCTGACTTCCAGTTCATGCTCTTTTTTTCTTTCTCTCTTTCTTTTTTTTAAAGGCAATTGGGGTTAAGTGACTTGCCCAGGGTCACACAGCTAGTAAGTCTCAAGTGTTTGGTCTGAGGCCGGATGTGAACTCAGGTCCTCCTGACTTCAGGGCCGGTGCTCTAACCACTGTGCCACTTCGCTGCCCCCCTTTCTTTAAAGTATTTTGTCAGTCCCTTTTTATATAGAATCCCTGAGGGTTGCTGAAATTCTCTTTCTTGAATCAATGAAAGTCAGTAGAACAGACACTTATATTGTATGCCACCTCAGGCAAGTTACTATCACCATTTCTATGCCTTGTTTTTCTCATCTGCCAAAGTGCTAGCATTATTAATAAAATTAATAATTATGCAGAAACTCTTAAATTTTTCAATCGTCGCAGGAATAATAATGCTTACCATATTTATCTCACAATAGGTAGCTGAGAGGAGAAGTAAGATCACAAATATGAAAGCATTTTTCAAATTTTATATAAGTTCTTAACTTCTAGAAAAATTATCCCGTGTGAAGAAGTTTCAAAATTGAAGCCAATCTAGTTAAATACCTACTATGTGCAGAGCCCTGTGCCAGATGCTGGGGATATAGGGAGTAACCAAAAAAAGTGCCTGTCCTCAAGGAGACTCCATTCTTCTGAGAGGCAATACAATACATTGCAGGGCATGATGATGGCCAAAGTAATAGCAGCCAGATGTCACAGTGGATAGAGTGGCCCAGAGTCAGGAAGACCTGAGGTGATACAATAGATAGAATGCCAAGCCTGGAGTCAGGAGTCCAAATCTGGACTCAGACACTTATTAGTTGGTGACCCTGGGCAAGTCGCTTAACCCTGTTTACCTCAGTTTCCTTAGCTGTAAAAGGAGCTAGAGAAGGAAAATGGCAAACCACTGCAATACCTTCGCCAAGAAAACCCTAAATGGGTTCACAAAGAGTCAGGAGAGACTGAACAACACTTTGGGCAGCTAGGTGGAACAGTGGATCGAGAACTGGGCCTGTAGTCAGGAAGATCTGGTCTCAGACACTTATTAGTTGTGTGACCCTGGGCAAGTCGCTTAGCTCTGTTTGCCTCAGTTTTCTCATCTGTAAAATGAGCTGGAGAAGGAAATGGCAAACCACCCCAGTATCTTTGACAAAAACAAAACAAAACAAAATGGAGTCAAACCTAACTGAAACAATTCAACAACAGTATCATCGTTATTATCTAGACTCATCGTAATTCATTGAAGCCTCAAGCAAAGCTCTAATAAAGGCTAACCTTTAGCAAACATAACGTTGGTTATTTCTACTGGTAAGCTGCATTTGACTATGATAAGCCACATAGGTGCATTTTCAGTCAGTTGTGCTGGGAAGTCCATCCCTCAGCTAACCAAAAAGGCCAGGAACAGGAGGACAAAAATAGCGGAAGAGCTGCAAAGGCAATTCACATAAACTGATTTCACAAAACTGATTTTACCATGAGAACCCATATTGCTTCCATCTCCACAGCTGCCAATAGACAAGACATACCTGATAATTTGCCCTAGTTTTTTAGGCTATGGAAGTATTGTCAGCAACTCTATGCATTTCTTTTTATATTATTATCTATTGCAGCCAGGTCCCAATTTGTGAAAATAAATGAATCCCCTAAAGTGGCTGCATGTATTAAAATTTCTCCTAACTGAAGTCATAATTATAGAAAACATGGCAATTGGTTGCAGTCCAGTGGAAATATGGTATGAATTTGAATAATGTGACCAATTCAGAAGCTTCCTTATTTGTGCCAATGTGGAGCTAGTCACATATCCAAATGGGGCTACCACCATCCCTCAGTGTCAGCCCCACTGTCCATGCTAACACTTTAGTCATGATTACCATCATCCTGTTCCTGTATGAGTGGTCTGAATATGGCCACCACCCTTTGCCTAGAGTATTGGAGTCCCAAAATCACTCACTCATAACTTTCTCAGTGAGAACAAGAGAATCAACAGCAACAGATAGCAGATATGCTTAAAGGGAAGGAGGTAGTACTCATGAGCCTAGAGTTCTTGGTGCTTTATCCATGGCCTCAAAGCCAGGTTTTAGTAACTCAGTTCAAATTTGGGTAATGACTCTTAAAGTGCTTGAGTAGGGAGGGGTGAAAGCTCTACTGATGCCCGTGCTTAGAACATGACATTGAGGTTAAGAAGGTCTTTTCCAACTTAACTCCTCTTTCCTTCCAACTGTAAGGATAACAGCAAAGAATTAGCATAAGTTAATGGAATAGCTAGGAGAGATGGGCCAGATTATAATCTAGTGAAGGAGTTCTTAACTATTTTTACATCATTGACCCCATTGGCAATGTGATGAAGCCTAAAGACCCCACCTCAGAATAATTCTTAAATGCATAAAATACAATACATAGGATAATAAGGGAATCAGATTATATTGAAATATAGCTATCAAAATATCGGGGGGAATAACAAATTCATGAACCCTAAACTCATATTACAGATAAGGAGACTAAGGCCAAAAGAGGGTGAGTGACTTACCCAAGGTCTATAGATAGTAAGCATCAGAGGCAGGATTTGAACCCAGATCCTCCAGGGCCAGTACTCTTTTCATTGTACTACCCTACCTCCTTAAGCACTTGAAGTCCATGTTTTGGGATATATGCAATGCATGACTGAATCTGTGTGTCTTAGAGAACTTAAGGGTTGTCGTGCTTCTTCTAGGTAAGATGTTAAGGAAGATGGACTGAAGCAATAACACACTGTTAAGCAGGAATGTCCATTGGACAAAACATCTCAAGAAGTATACATAAAACATTATGAAGGTGTAAAAAAACCCTTTACATTTATTGTTACATTATATTTCACAAAACAATTTGGGATTGCTGGTGTCATTCAGTCAGTTCAGACTCTCATGACTCCGTGTGGGGCCTGGCAAAGGTACTAGAATGGTTTGCCACATCCTACTTCAGTTCATTTTACAGAAGGCAGGCAGGTTAAGTGATTTGCCTGGGGCACACAGCTAGTTAATGTCTAAGGCTGGATTTGAACTCAGGTCTTCTTGACTCCAGGCCTGGTACTTTATCCACTGCACCACCTAGCTGCCTTTTTCTTTGGGATACATGATTTCATTTGGTCCTCACCATAACCAAGTGAGAAGCTATATTACTACCAAGTCATACATCATAACTTGAATCCAGGCTTTCAGATTTCAAGTCTAGTGCTCTTTCTAGCAATATTTTACATTTCTTACTTGCTTCTCAGTTATAACTGGGTAGGCGTTGGACTTTCTCTTCAGTAACTAGAAGCATTCCTCTCAATGCTCCCTTAGATTGAGCTATAGTACTTGATAATGAATTGTGCAAATGAAAGCAACAGAGTTTTTTGCTGTTAATTAAATGAAACTCTTGGGTTTGTTTTTGTTTGTTTTTCCATTTTCAGGAAAGAATCTTAAGTTTCTTTCTTTTCTCAGACTCTTCCAAGATCTGGGAAATAACTTAGAATTTTCCTGTGGTTTTTTGCTACACAGATCATCTGACATCAGTTATCAAAGATGGGGTGGGAGGGATTTATGATTCCTGGGTGGGCAGTAAATGCCCTCTTCATAGAGCATTTTTGAGTCCCTCAAAATTTCAGGGATAGATGCAGTATCTTAAAAAGTACTTAGGCTAGAGAATAAAAAAAGCAACCCAAATGTTTTTGTTATGGCTGATAAGAACTACTGGCAAGTTAGCACTGAAAGGGTCTTCTTGCCAGGGCTGTTTTCTTCCATGGTTCAGTATTTCGAGAACATGCTGACTTGCAAGTATTTACCTTTCCTTTTTCATAATAAAAAAAAATGTGTTTTGAAAATCAGACAAAAAAAATTCAAAGAATGACCAAAGGAAATTGGAGAACGGGGAGAAACAGAGTCATTTTTGTGCTTCTTTATCAACCTGTGATAATTTCCCTTTAAGATGTTATCAGGGACACTGTATTGAGGAGGGTAGAAACTAACAGATTGTTCAAGGTAAGACCTCCTTTGATATTCTGGAAGTTCTTGTGTTTTGTGTTTTTTGGGGGGTTTTTTTTGTCCTGCTTACATTTTCTCAGTGTTGTGTGTGCCACATTTCCATAATAGATACATGTACATATATTTCAGGCACGTGCTAATATATATTACACAGCTTGTGAAAAGCATTCATCTCAAGAAACATGTTTTAGATAAATTTACAAAATGGAATGGCTGGTCACATGATGGTGACCTATTATTACTGTCAAATATGAAAGAAAAGCAATACACATACACTACATATTTTTACCATACAAAGCTTAGGACAAAACAATGTGATTTTATTAAATTTCAAGTAGCATTTGATGCATATGCATTCTTCTTTCTGAATGGCATTTAACTTGGATTTAAAAACCATTATTTGTGGTGGGAAAGCTAAAAATTAGTAATTTTCCAGGGATATAGTGTTAATTTCCATGGGAACTATACTCAAGGCTTTGCTTTAGAAATGGAAAAAAAGAATGTCTTTATCAGTGCTTATGCAGAACAAAGTGGTCAAGATAATATAGGAATCCATTTACTGTTCTCTCTCTTTCCTCTCATCCCCTCCTTGGTTGGTATTTTATTGAAACATCTGTTGAGTTGTACTGACCTCTTCGGATCATTACATGAAACAACTTCATTTCCTTCATCAAAAAGTGTTGACATCATTCAAAAGGTCTTTTTGTTTCAGCACCCGTGTTCATGCGTTAGCTTCCTATTGGTGGCATAGCTTTTGTACTGAGAATGATTGCAGTTATCGTTAACGCTATATGTAATCATCTTGTCCTGGCAGAAGCCCCCACCTGCTGAGATCAGAGGGTTCCTTTTCCACGGAAGGGAGACATTCATCTACTGACTCCAACAAAGCCTCAAGCGGAGACGTCTCCCCTTACGATAATAACTCCCCAGTGCTGTCTGAACGCTCATTGCTGGCTATGCAAGAAGACATTGTCCTGGGGTCAGAGAAGCTTTACAAGGTGCCTGAACAATATATGTTGGTTGGCCACTTGCAGTCTAAATCAAGGGAAAGTTCTCCTGGACCATGGGCTGGAAAAGGTATGGTTTGATTGTCAAAAATGCAACCCTTATCCTATCAAATCAGTCCCTTAACTCATGACAGAGGCGGTCCTTTTCTTATGTACGTTTTGTTGATTTGACCTACTCAGAGTCCACCTATCCTGCACTCAGACTTCTGTAGTCTCATGGAAAGCCTACTAACATAGTCATAAATTTCATTCTGTTTAAAGACATGTTATGGTTTACTCTCTTCTCACCTCACAGTGAACTTACAAATCTAAATTATTGGGTTTGTCAACAGAATTTTGAATGTGGTCCAGACTGGACTGGTCTCTAACCTGGGCATAGCTTGAGCTGAAACAGAGCAAACCAGAGACAGGTGTGTCAGGAATCAAGTAACAATTTAATTAGTTTCAGAGTGAGGAAAACATTTGCAAGTGGAAGTCCTCCTGAGTAGGAGGGCTTAACATATTGGAGTACAGGCAGTACTTATATGTGTGTGTGTATGTGTGTATATGTACATGTATATATACATATACATACATATATATTACACACATATATATACATATACATATACATACATATATATTACACACACACACACACACATATATATATATATATGCTGGAATATGGCATAATCATTGTTAGGTCTTGAATTACTGTTACCACGGGTTCTGTGAGAACAGTACTGTCCGAAGTCTTGGGGTCATGATGACTCTGTGGGGTACAGAACCAGAGTTCTGTGATGGCAACAGGAGTACAGCACAAGGAACAGGAATTGTGAGCATGTCAGAAATGTGATGGATGTTGACTCTCAGGTCCCTGGGAAATGGGGGGATTGAACACCTGGTCCAATACACTTTGCCATAGGGTGAGATCATCCAGAGTGCAGAGGATTATTGTTATGCCAAACTCAGGGCACAGCCTGCTTGCTGGATCTTAGCTCTAGGAAACAGAGTATCCCCAAAATATTTTGACAGCTTTAAATGGCCCAATTTCTGCTATATCAGATTGTGTAGGTATCCTTTAATTTCTCATAGTATTCTCTACCTTCTTCTGTTCTCATCATAGTCTTTCCTTCACTGAGTCACTGTTTGCTTACTCTAAAGGATTACATCTTAGATATATATGTCCTAAGCTCGTTGAATAAATAGACACATTGAGTTTCAGATGCCTATAGGACATCTATGGAGACAACTAGGTAGCACAGTGAATAAAGTATCAGATCTAGAGTCAGGGTAATCCATCTTCTTGAGTTCAAATGTGACTTCAGACACTTAATTCACTGTGTGACCCTGAACAAGTTGATTAACCTTGTTTGCCTCAGTTTCCTTATCTGTAAAATGAGAAGGAAATAACAAACTACTCCAGCATCTTTGCAAGGAAAACCCCAAATGGGGTCATAGAGACTTGGACATGACTTAAAACAACTGAACAACAACAACAAATAGGACATCCAGGGAGACATGACCAACAGGTAGCTAGAGATGCAAAACTGGAGCTCAAGAGAGGGACTAGAACTGGATATGTAAGTTTGGGAGTCATCCATATAGAGGTTATAGTTTGGATCTGTGGAAAGTAAATCACCCAGCACACTGGAAGCCTTTTTGGATTCCAGAACAGCATTGGAGCATCCTTTACAGAAACCCTCCAGGAGAAAATCTAGGGACTAAAGAGGAGAGAGCCTAGGACAGTCATAGGATATACACATGTATGGGTGTGTGACATGGATGATGACCTGGTAGAGGAGACTGATAAGATCAGTTAGATTAGGGAGAAAGAGCACCACAGTGACAAAGCAGTGTCACAAAAATCCATGGAGGAGAAAAAATAAAGAAGGAACTTCCACACAGAGGCATCCAGTGCTGAGTGGGTAGTGAAAGTGTCTAAATAGGCTGGAAGGCATCTGGTTCTGGTAGCAAGGGACAAGTGGCAGCAGACGAGATGGCAAGATATAGTCATATAGCTGATAAGATATCGGAGGCAGAATTCAAACTCAGGTCAACCTGATTCCAAGTTTAATATTCTCTTCACTGTGCCACCTGGCTACCTAATGAAGTTGTATGTAGTAGGGTTAAGAATTATTCTCTGAGATCTTCACAGTTGGTATATAAATGTTTCGGGGTTTGAGAAGATTTTTTTTTGGTCATAAAAGCCATTTTATCAGAAAGTGGGACGTGGCCATCTGTGGATTCCTTGAAAATTAGCAAATTCTCAAGTGTTTGGAGTTCTTCTGACGGTTGTAAGAAAAAAGAAGACAAAACACTACCAGCTGTCACTTTGTTTTTTTTTTTATAAACTGATCTCATAGCACTTATGTTTGTACTACTCTTGTGGCACTTGATGGGTTTTTTTTCCCCTGATGAAATCACAGGCACCTTGCATATACTGACATAAATACAGAAATCACACTAGTTACCTGCACATATGAAGGTGTTTTGTTTCCTCAATTCTGTCAACTTCATGAAGGCAACAGCCATGTCTTAAAGTTGTTTGTATCTTCTGTGGTACTTGGTGCTTTGTCTAATGTAGGTTCTTTATAAATAGTTCCTGACTAATTGACTGTATCACTTCATATTATAACATTTTATTAACCCTTCTTTAGATGTCTCAGAGGAGCCCTTCAATATTTGGGGAACCTGGCATTCAACATTAAAAAGTGGATCCAAAAGCCCAGGAATGACAGGTATAGTGCTATTTTAAAAATACTATTTTGACAAATCTTATAGGATGTACCGATTGCCTTAGCGGTGGGGGGATGGGAGGAGGGAAGGGTTGTTGATTTGCCTCCAGTCTAGCTGAATTCGGTAGTTATTTAGTTGTTTCCTGAGACACACAGTGCAGGACTTCTCTACTTCAGTGGCTCTGTGAGCATAACCATAAAGATTCTCCCTCTAGTGGTGGAAATAGCCCATCCTCATAACTGCACTTCACACACATCCGACAAAGATTGACCCAGCACACTGCAAGCCTTTATCCACTGGAAGCCTTTTTGGATTCCAGAGTAGCACTGGAGGTAGTCTATCTGTTTCAGATACCCACCAGACACGCCACTTTTTATTCAAAGAAGGTTGGGGTTTTTATAGGGTTTTTTTGGTTTTAAGTCAACAAGCATTTTTTTCTTAAAAGCACCTACTACATGCCAGGCATTTTTCTAAGTGCTGAAAGTCACAGTCATGTCTGAATATAATGCTCCCTCCCTCACTACACCCCTGACATTGAACCCTCCACTGGGACAAAGAAAAACCATTAAGTCAAACCAACTGGGAGTTAACACATCTGGTGGTGTACTCTGGCACTTAAGTCACATACTGGTAACGTGCTACTTCTATCCACCAAGTATCTCTCTGTCCATGGAGAAGATGCTTCATCTGGCTGGTACGGAATGGTTCTAGAACTTTGGTCCTTCTCTCACTTCATCTTTCAGTTGTTATCAGGCTCTGAAAATGCTGGTTTCTAAAAATGTCCTTGTGCTTTTTGCCTACAAGTTACTTTGAGAGGAAAAGTCTCCCCTCTCCCAAGAAAAACAGGGGCACAGAGATGTTAGGTCACTTCCAAAATCATTATGCACAGACCCAGTTGTCTTGATAAATGTATTCACCCTCAGTTTCAGGAAGAAAGCACGGTAGGAAGATAAACACTGCTGCTGCTATATTAACTATCTGAGAGTGAATAGTTTTAGCTTCTGGCCCCCTTCTAACAGGTTTCATTGATAATAGTGTCTCTCCCCTAGATTGTACGCTCCTTTAAATAAGAGGGACATATTCTCTTCCTAGTAGCACTATGTAATATGTACAGTGTGGACATTCAGAAAGATAAACTGGCAGGAACGATTATTAATGACCAACAATAATAAATATTTATATATTGTTTTAAGATTGCTAAAGCACTTGACACATTTATAGTATCACAAACCTGTGGTGGGTGCTAGTATTTTTCCTATTTCACAGATGAAGAAGAAGCCTGAGAGAGGGTAAGTGACTTTCCAGTTGTCACACAGCTATTAATTGTCTGAGGCAGTTTTTGACCCCAGGTCTTTTTTACTACAAACCCAGAATTGTATGTGTTACACCATCTTCCTGCCTAAAATAACAATCAGCAAATGTGAATGTTATTCTTTGGTTTGGGGCTGTGTGACTCTGGACAAGTCACTTAGCCCCATTTGCCTCAGTTTTCTCATTTATAAAATGAGCTGGAGAAGGAAATGGCAAAACACTCCATTATCTTTGCCAAGAAAACCCCTAAATGGGGTCATGAAGAGTAGGATATTACTGAACAACAATAAAATCTTTCGCTGGGTAACAGCAATCTAAATGCATTCTTGTTTAAAGGAGTTGAGAGTTGGTAGGAAAAAAGGGCAGATGAAGCATAGCACTGTTCCAGTGACCGTATTTCCATATTCTCCTTCTTCCTATTCTATCTTCCAGGCTCCTATGGAGACATTTATGAAAGCAGCTTCCTTCGTCCCGGGCGGTGCTCCCTTTCCCAGGGGAACCTCTCCCTGAACTGCCCACGCTGGCAGGGTAGTTCCGCAGAACTGGACAGTGGGAAGCAGATCATCCAAAGGACTCAGACCACGGCCACCATCCCAGAGTATAAGCCCCATGTTCCAGTATCTCGAGTTTGCAGTACACCCCAGATACAGGAAAGCAGGAAAAGCTCAGAACAATCTCATTCGAGATCTGAGCAGTACTTGACTTTGAGTAGTGCAGAAGATCTCAGTGAGAGTGACTTGGATGTGACTTGGCTGCAAAACAGGGCCAAGTCTCTGTATCTGAGAGTAGCAGAGAGTGGCAGAAATGAACAGAGGCCTCCGCCTCCCTACCCAGGCCTAAGGAAGCAAGCTTCAGCACCATCTCAGCAGCCCACCGAGAAACCACTGTGGAGACTTCAGAGGCCAGAGGAAAGTTCAGAGACTGCTGCAAAGGAGGAAGGACAAATGACTGTCTCCACTGACAATTCAGATCTTGGTCAGGAGAATCAGGACACAGTGAAAAAACTGGGCAATGCTTATTCCATCGAAGCCAGTGATCAGAACAGTAAAAACTTGGCAAATCCAGACTGGCATGATTGGCAGAGGGAGCGATGGCAAATTTGGGAGCTCTTATCCGCTGATAATCCAGATGCCCTCCCTGAAACTCTAGTATGACCACTCCCCACACCCATGTCCTCCCTTCCTCCCCCCCAAAAATACACACACGCATACACACAAACTGCCATGAATGTCCGTTCTTCCCTCCAGCAGGAAAAAAGAAAGAAAAATGATGCTGTTGGACAATCAGGTGAATTCTTATTCTTCTTGTTTTACACCAATTAAAGTTCATGTAAATGTTTTTTTAAAGTCAACACTATTTTCACTTTAAGATTTTAATAGCACTGTCAAATGTCCATTTACAAATAAATTTCTGTTGCATAGCCAGCATTTAAGGAAGAAAAAATGGAATGAAACTATCTATTTTAACAATTGTGCCCACATTTGCTGTGTGTAAGATAAAAATCTATTGCTTTGGTATAGCTGAATGTATTTATATGTCTGCAGTTTTGATGATTGTATATTCTGTAATGGGTTGTGTATGATGATCATATATGATATGTTCACAAACTGAAAACAAAAGGAACAATTTTAACTGGTTTTTGTTTGTTTTTTAATCACTGCACTTATAAGCATTGAAATTCTATAGAGTGTGCACAAGCAGGTTTCTGTGCTTTTTAAATATACATTTGTAAATGGAAGAAAACCCTTTTGTCACTGCCTGAGAAAAACATTAAACTTAGACAGGAAAAGCCATATTTTTTATAATAGTAGTAGTGTGATAGGGGGAAAAACATAGTCACCACATACTTTTTTTTCATATAAAAATGCTTGTGAGCAAAATTTTAAAATTGATACATTATAAAAATATTTTTTAAGATTGCATTAGAAGCTGTTCAGCTAATCAGTCAGGAGTCAGGCCGTGCCTAACAGATGGAAGAATAATTCAAAAGCCCTTCTCCCCAATCTATGCTCAGTACATTTTATATAAACCATATATATATAATATATTATATATTTATAATGTATGATTTTTATATATTTTTCAAAACAACAAACTGGAATCCAACTCTGAAAATTTTAAAGCCTAAATTAAGGTATGCAAATTACAATTGAATGTGGCTTTTCCTTTTACCCCACATGCATTCAGTATTAAAAATAAATAAATAAATAAATGCATAGATAAATGCAGTGCTTAGGGTATTAACACTATGTTTGGAAAGATATGCAACTTTGCATATACATGATACCAAAGGCCGAGGAAACATTTTCTTCGATGATTTTAGGCTGCTTTGTGAACTATGGTAATACTACATAGTGTTACAGTATACGTTTGGGTGTTTTTCAAGTAACTGCAAAATCATTTCATGGCCAGCAGATGGCAATTTACTTCAATGTTTTAAGAAACTTTTCACTTGATAAGGGAAAATGTACTATATATAAAAAAATTTTTCTAAACCATGCTAGTCTTAATTTTAATGAAGATGATGACTTTTTTCAGTGATGCTGTCTTTAAGTTCTATGTGCCATATTTGAATAAAGAGCTAAGCAAACTATATATTCTCTGGCATCAGATATGATTGAAAATTCATAAAAGAAGTTGGAAATATTATGCCTGGAAAATTGCTAATGCAAATCCAACACCGTGCATATATGTGAGGTTATTGGGAAATAGCTAAAAAGAAAAAAAATTTAGATTATTTAAGGACACAAAGCAGGGAAACAAACTTCTTTCCACTCAAGAATTTTTCCCATGCTTCCTTGGAAGGGGAAGATAATAGCAATAAAAGTATTGCCAAGGGAAAATCATGCTTTGGTCACCTACTAACCTAGAAAGACTTCCTATATAGGCTAAAGACAGATAGACTGTGGGGCTTTCATCCAAGTACTAGCCTAATTAAATTAAAATAGGGTTATCAACAGGTTAGTCCCTAGGGGAGGAATTTGGGGGGCTATAACAAACTCAGAGAGACCATGGAAAGAAAAGGTAAAGCTTACTGGGCCTTTCATTCCCCTGGAGGACTCCCCTCATAGGTAATCTGTACACACACACCATTGTTTCTCAGGACTTTATTTATACAATGGGATCATAGATCTGGTAGAAAAGACACAATATGAAGATGTGTATGTAATACACACATGTGTATATATTAGACAAAATACATACCTGTAAATATGTAATATACATGTATATATTACACATCATATACATATATATATACATATATATGTGTGTGTATATATATATATATATATATATATATATATATATAGTATTTTTACATATGTATTATATGCATGTGTGTATATACAGAGTTCTGGATCACTACATGGTTCTTAGAAATCACATTTATCAATTCTATGAGTAGTCAAGGATATGATTTGGCCCCATTGATTTAGAATCATTGAGGATAGCAAGATGCTTCCTATCTCAGGTTTCTCTTATGTTCAATCCTTCCCAGGGGAAAAATTTCTCATTATTTTCTCAATTACTTGAGACTGTTATTGAATTCCCTTTTAACCATTTCCCCCATCCTTTCTAGTCTGAGGATCATTCTCCTTTGTAGAGAAAAGAGAAGCAAAAAAAGATATGGGAAGCTTGTTCTCCTGACTCCTGATCCAGCGCTCTTTTCTCGATATCGCTATATCTCAATATCTCTATATTTTCTCTATCTCCATATATCAAATGATGGTATCGGTCTAAGTACTTAATGTTCAGGAAGGAAGAAGAAGTTACAGTGCAAGAAACTGGGAGCAGGCAGAGACATAGAAGGGAAACCAGTGGAATATGGTGCCATAAAGCCTAGAGTAGTCAATGGGGTCATTTGGAGTAAGAAAATAAAATTTACAAACAAACAAATAAATGTATATATGAATAAAAAGAACGAGAAAGAGGAAAGGGATATTGACTTTGATGATTAGAGAGACATTGGTGACCTTTCAAAAGTTACTTGAAGCAGATGCTGGGGATGTAACCAGACTTGAGTTTATGCCTATCAACACTGACTAAACTAATTGGCTAATTGTACATAATCGCCTTCATTTCTTGCTGCTTATATCTACACTCCATAGCCTCTTTTCTTTCATTTAATTTTTTTTCTTTTTTTCTTTTGGTATTTTTTAAGGCAATTGGGGTTAAGTGACTTGCCCAGGGTCACACAGCTAGTAAGTCATTTAATTTTTTTAATTATCATTTAATTTTTAATTCATATATTTTGTTTTTATCTTATATCATCTTGATTTCCAAATATATCCCTCCTCCCAGAAAGCCAGAAGTAACCTCTTTTTATAACAACAGTAGCTGATGCTTGCAAAGCATTTCAAAATACGTTATTTTATTTGGTCCTTGCAATGACCTTGTGAGGGGGTGCTACAGTTAGTTTTATCCCCGTTTGATAAATAAGGAAATTGAGACTCAGAAAAATTAAGTGACTTGCCTACAGTCATGCAGATGGTGTCAGAAGTAGAAATCAAACCCATGTTTTTCTGACTTTGAATCCATCATACTATCCACTAGGCAGGAGCAGTAGATAAAATGCTGGGCCTGGGGTCAGCAAAAGTTCACTTCCAATTCCAAGTGCTTGCTAGGTGTTTGACATTTAATCTGTCTGCTTCCGTATCCTCATCTATACAGTAAGGATAATAATAGCACCTTACCTCCTAGGGCTGTTATGAGGATAAAATAACATATTTGTATATTTGTAAGTGCTATGCAAATCTTAAAGTACTATATGAATGCTAGTTATTATTACCTTTTTTTCCTATATATTCCTAGACTTTAAAGGTTGTTTTGCGTGCCCTCACATTCCCAAGGAACACATGCTCAGCATTTCTGAAATACTTTAGAAAGCTCACAAATGACAAGAAAAAAAGAAAACTTAAAAAGACTGTAATAGATGGATCTGTGATTTCAGCATTATAGGTATTTTTTCCATGGGTGAAGATTGTAACCCCATACATGCCCTCTTACCCTGTAAAATATTTATTCATGCTCCTCTGTTGGTCCTCCACAAAGGACTGTCATGATGTACTAGAAATCTTCCTTTAGATCTTATTGCACCTTGTGGGTACTACGTCCTTTGGCCAGCCATCTCACATTATAACCATATGACAGCCCATTTCCTTGATAATCAATATCCTTCAGCTAATTCTTGCACATAGACAATCACTGAAAGGATGCTCACAGATACTTGTACCTACCATGTGTCTCACTTTTGCCTTTTTGAATTAGCTAGAATTTTGATTCCTCAAAGATTTCGATGTTTCAAGACTTGTAGGCCTAGCATCACTAAGAGAACATTATATTAAAAATAATAATAGTAATAAAAATAATAATGGGCCCTTGCTATGGGGAGCAGCTGGGATCATTAAAAGCACTGTATAGTTTTCTCAAATGTAATCAACCCATTCTTCTGCTATTTCTGTCTACCAATGTTTTTCCAGGTATTTGTCCTGATAGATTAACTGAATGGATTGATCATCTAATTTTAACTCGGAAGTATTGACCCTCTGAGTTGTCAGGGCTCTCTCTACCACCCCATTGATTAAAATTACTTTGTACCTGCATGTGTATATGTTGCTCAATGCTCACTCCCAAAGTGTAAACTCTTGAAAGTAGAAACTTTCACTTTTCTCTTTGTATCTCTAGCAAGTAGCACATTGCCTAGCACAGCGCAGGTGCTTAATAAATGCTTCCTGAATTCACTTGAAATAGACAAAGAGACACTTTTCATCCATTTAGCTTTTTTAGTATGGATTGTTAGGTCACTGTCTTCTGAATAATTATGGATCTCAAGAGGAGACCTTGTAATAGTCTAGGATTTGATACAATCACAATAAAAGTGTTTGCCAATAAGAGTATCTAAAGGACTTCACCATCTATAACAAGGGTTCTTAACCTGAGGCAAATGGACCACCAAGGTGTCAGTGGGTAAATTTCAGGGGGGGTCTGTGAATTTGGATGGAAAAAAAGATATTTATTTGCACTAACCTCTAATTGAAATTTAGCATATCATTTAAGTATATTTAAAAAAAATATTCTGAGAAGGTCCATAGATTTTACCTAACTGACAAAGGAGTCCCATACAAAGAAAGTTTTGAGAACCCCTGACATATATGGAATCCTTCTTCCATTTAAGTTGAATGTAGAATGTCCTTCATAACAGTGGTGAGCACTCTTTGGAAGCATGGATTTTCTTCTTTAATGTCATGCTTGATATTAAAAAAAAAATCAAAGGGTCGTTGAACTCTGTTGCATTTAATAAAGAGGCTTTGTGAACTTAACACATGGAGGAGACTCCTTAACAAAGGAAAGCCCTTAGGGTATTTTGTTCTTCCGAGTCAAATGCTTTTTTGAGGGATGGGAGGGCCATCTTGGATACTCTAGATCAGTAACTTAGTTATGTGACTATAACAATGTAATCTATCATAATCTATCATAAAGAGACATTTGTTAAATCCTTTTTCTAGCCAATATCTTCATCAAAGATACCGTTGACATGTATGCAAATCATTCTTATAGATTTTTAAATGATGAGAAATTTAGCATTCAGATTTGTAGTTTTTGAGGTTCTGATTGTGTATTCAGCATTTTAATATCATTTAGGATTTCTGTTACAAATTATGCCAAAAATCATTTGTTCTTTGATTTGTTCTTTTGAATTTGGAACGGGGGTGGAGTTACCTAGGTGTCAGAGTGAATAGAGTGCTGGGCATGGAATCAGGAAAACTCATCTTCACTGGTTCAAATCTGGCCTTAGATGCTTACTGTGTGACTCTGGGCAAGTCATTTAACCCTGTTTGCCTCACTTTCCTCATCTGTAGAAGTGAGCTGGAGAAGGAAATGGCAAACCACTGCAATATCTTTGCCAAGAAAATCCCAAATGGGGACAGGAAGAGTTGGACATGACTAAACAACAACAACGGCATAACAACATCTTTAATTTTTATGGTATCCATTCATTCCAGCTCTCACCAGTGTTGGCCCATGGACAAAGAGCCAGATATGCAGCAGTGATGTCAGGTATAATTAAATATTTAGCCATAAATATTATTTACATAGAAATAGATTGGAGTAGTTAGGAAAGGTCCAGGTCTTAATATCTCCTAAAAGTCAACCTGGAAGCTGTTAACATAGCCTTTTTAGCACTTTTATACCAGTTGAAGAAAATAAATTCATATTTTAAAATTGTTTTATATGTGAAATGTGCTCAAACTAAGGAAACTACTAAACAAACTTAGTTGGTCACTTATGTTGAGTCAAAAGGAGAAATTTTAATAAAAGTCAGAATCTTTAAAGTAAGATTGAATACTCTTCAAGAAGGGGAAAACATTATCAAAATCCATGAAAGATTGAGTCTACAGGTGGCCTCTAAGTCCTTGAGACCAGGAACTGCTCTGTTTTTGTCTTTGTATCACCAGAGGGCAGGGCAGTGCCTTGCACATAATAGGGCCTTGAAAATGCATAATTTATTTAATTTAATTGATAAAATAATCACAGTTTGGATTTTTATCATGTTTTAATGTTTAGAAAAAGTTTTGCTCACAACCCTAGCCACCAT